GGCTGGCTTTGAACCGCGATCCTCAGATCTCAGCCTCCTGAGTAGCTAGGATTACAGGCGTGAGCCACCAGCGCCCGGCATGTCCCTCAGCTCTTCAGCTCTACCACTTAAGCCACATCACCACTTCCAGTTTTTTCTGCTTATGTGGTGCTTAGGAATCAAACCCAGGGCCTAATGCATGCAAGGCAAGCACTCTACCACTGAGCCAACTTCCCATCCCTCTCTGAGCTTTTTTGCTCAAGCCTAGCACTCTACCACTTGAGCCATAGATCTACATTTGGATTTTTAGTGGTTAATTGAATATGAGTCTCATAAACTTTCTTATCCAGATGGGTTTAAATCCTGATCCTCAGATCTCAGTCTCCTGCATATCCAGGATTACAGGCATGAGCCACGGGCACCAGGTCTAACAGATTTTTTTACATAATAGTAAGGGAGTATTGCCAGGTGCCAGTGGGTCACACCTGTAATCCTATCTACTCTGGAGGCTGAGATCTGAGAATCGCAGTTCAAAGCCAGCCCATGCAGCAAAGTCAGTAAGACTTATCTCCAAATAACCACCAGAAAACCAGAAGTGTCACTGTAGCTCAAGTGGTAGAGCACTAGCCTTGAGCTGAAGAGCTCAGGGACAGTGCCCATGTCCAGAGTTCAAGCCCCGCAACCAACCAAAAAAAAAAAAAAGAGTAAGGGAATACTTGACCTAGTTAGCAAGGTTGTTAGTGCAGTATCTAAGGTAGAGATTAAAGTGGAATAAAAACAAAGAAGCATGCAGAACTAAGACTACACTGAGGAAGCAGGGCTAGAGAACTAAGGGAAAAGCCTGTGATAGAGAGACACACAACTCCCCCAGCTTACCTCTACACACAGACTCATCATTCCTTAATTTTTGTAGTGCCAGAGATCAAATCAAGGTCTTTAGCATGCAAGGCAAGGGCTCTATTACTGAGCAACAGACTCAGTCCAAGAGACCCATTGATAAAAGGGTTGCTTGCTGGCCATGGCAAAGGCCTATATCCCAGTACTCAGGAGGATCAAGAGCCGGGGGCCAGTCTAGGCTATATAGTGAGACCTTGACTCAAATAAAAAGGAGAGGGGTGGTGTACCCAAGTATTATCTTCTTTGCTCTTTCAAGCAAGGTCTCTTTAAAATACATGTAAGGAGGCTAGATGTGGTATGCCTGTAATTGTAGCTACCCTGGGAGAATAGACTGAAGAATCTCAGTCTAGGCAGGCTCAAAGGAAAAACTGCAAGATCCTATCTTTTTTTTTTTTTGGGGGGGGGTCCTGTCGTGGGGACTGAACTCTGGGCCTGGGTGCTGTCCCTCAGCTCTTCAGTTCAAGGCTAGAGCTCTACCACTTGAGCGACAGTGCCACTTCCAGCTTTTTTTCTTTTTGCTTATGTGGTGCTGAGGAATCGAACACAGTGCCTCATGCATGCAAGGCAAGCGCTCTATCACTGAGCACCTTCCCAGCCCTGCAAGATCCTATCTTAACAACTAAAGCATAAAGAACCTGGTTCAAGTGACACCAGTATTGGCTTGCAAGCTTGAGGCAAACTTTCAAATTCAAACTCAATCCCTGAAAATAAATGAATGAACAATCTGGAAACCATTTCCCTATAACCTATTATAACCTGTTTCCTGGTTAAGAAAACTTGTTAACAGAAAGGATTTAAAACTACTCAGAGTTTAAGCTTATCAGTATCTAGATTTGATGAACGCACATAATAGAAAAGACATTCTCCCTAATACTTTGAAAGAAGTAAAACCTACTATTCTCATTTACTAATAAAGGTCTGGATGTGGAAATAGGCTTAGAGTTCCACTCAAGGAAGCAAGCTGGCAGTGGCATACACACACACACACACACACACACAATGGCAGTGGCATACACACACACACACACACACACACACACCTCCAAATGCTAAACAACGCACTTTTGAGAGGAAAAAAATGTTCTAGTCCAGTTCAAAGAAGAAGTAATATGTGTTTCATTTTAATAAGCAAAAAGGATCATACAGACCATTTAAAACACTTCTTTAGCTGCCAGGAGGGAAAAATAAGCACTCTAAAACTCCTAACCTCTAAATGAGGAAAGGGAAAAATCAGGACAGATAGGGAGTCTGGAAAGAAAATGCCACAAGCCATGATAATTCTATCAGGTATTCCAGAACTTTGGTGGAATGCTAATTCTTTATCATGACAGAACTACATAATCGGGATGAACAGGAAACTGAAAAGTTTTTGACGGAAAATAGCTGGGGCTTCTCAATGGAGACACTCAGAAACCACCAGGAAGTGTTGTAATAATGACAAAACACCTAGAATTCTATTTTTTCCACAATTTGAGGCCAGTATGGACATTTGGGGAAGTTCAAGTCAAATTATCACCCACATGTGCAATGCTAAAAATCAGGGAGAATCTGAAGGACGGCCCCTCCATCAAGCACACTTGTAACTGCATGGGTACTAAGGATGCCATGCGTTTCCCAACTTTCTCCTACGAACTATTCCACCTCCCCAGCAGGGCTCCTACTCTACCTAAGCCGAGGCTTTAGGTCCTGCACTAGGCCACACCATTCATTCCACAGGCCATTGGAACTTTAGTTCCCTAAGATTACCCAAAACTCCCCTTCCTCCCCTCTCCCGGTTGTCTAAACCCTAACTTCTGACCCCACGGAGCACTGTAACAGCTCCGCCGCCCCTCCGCCTCCTACCAAAATCAGCGCCTCCATCTTGTCCCGCAGCTGGTGCCGACGTGGAGTCGCAAAAGCAGCGCCACCACTGATTGGCTCTGAGTTCTCATTAAGCCCAGCCCAGGGTAAGGATCATTGGATAAGAACAAGTTCTGTTAACCAATCAGCGTATTCACTTGCTTAGCGGAAGCAAGCGATCCAGCCAGAAGGAGGAGATATTTGATTGTCAGCTTGAACATTCAATAAAAAGTGCAGAATCTCACCCCTGAAGGGGCGGGAGGGTCAAGGGGACGGGGTTGTTTCCATGGGGAGTGGAGGAAGCGATTGTTAATTTTCAGTTGGTTGGGCCGAAGACACGTGATGTCGTCAGCCGGCTTTAGTGGCTTTAATCGTCACTCCCTGTAGGGGGCGTTGTGGGACTTAGCTCTTCACACCGGCCTTTCCTCGCAGAGTCCTACCCCAGTCCCCGTGCCCTGCGCCCCCATTAGGTTCCCCTTCATATCTACAGGTTGGCAAACTTAGAGAGCAAGTCGGCCCAATCACAGGCCCAGAAGTTTTACTTAACTAGAAAAAGTTCCAGATCAGTAAACAACCGTCTCAGAAACAACCTCCCCAAGGAGCAGACCCAGGCCTTGCTGGGCCCAGGGATGGATACACATCAAAACGTATCTAGGAATCAGATTTTCTTGGACTCAATGTGAAATAGGATGTCAGAGTTTTGGAGAGAGGCCAGAACAGGAGGGACCATGGTTAGAATCAGAATGGATATATTCTGAGGGTACTGGGAGTAGGGTCTGCGGTTTTCCAGTAGGGACAAGCCATTGCAAAATGAAAAAAAAAAAAAAAAGTGAGAGAGGAAGGGTTTTAATGAAGTTTGGGTTTGTCCCCCAACATAACCTCAGTTCCCTGGTCTCTGGTACCTTGTAGATCAGGGACACCCTAATGCCTTCCAATTCCAATGGGCTCTCCTCCCAATGTCTAATGATATTTTTAGGAACTCTCAGAGAAAGTTCGAACTAGCCGGGCACCGGTGGCTCTCACACCTATAATGCTATCTACTCAGAAGGCTGAGATCTGAGGATCCGCAGTTCAAATCCAGCCCAGGGAAGAAAAGTCTTTGAGATTGTTTTCAGTCAACCATGAGAAACCAGAAGTGGTGCTGTGGCTCAACGTGGTAGAGTGGTAGACTTGAGCAAAAGAGCTTAGGGACCAGTGCTCAGGCCTTGAGTTCAGGCCCCATGACCGACAAAAATAAAAAAATAAAAAATACTAAGGCAGAGCATGAGATCTGAGTTCAAACCCTGGAGAAAAACATGGAGAGAAAAAAAGACAAAAGAATCAAAGTATAAAACAATATGAAACATTGTCATACATGTAAGAATATATGCTAAGAGAGGATGTAATGATTTTTCTGGTGAAGTCCCAAGTGACAACCTCAGATCCAGAAGAGATGAAGACTTGGCCATTTTTCTCAGTGCAGAGTTATCCAAACACTTAACCCTGGGCCTGGCATCAAGCAGTGAGATTGTCCTTGACTTGGCAGCTTAAATGATAATAATAACATTTATTTCCATTTATTCTGTGTCATGCACAAATCAAAACCACTGAATAGATATTTAGTATATTTTGAGAATTTTTGTTTGTTTGGTGTAGTTTTGTATTTTAGCAGATGAGATCTTAGTACAAAGCTCAGGATGGCCTTAAACTTCTGTAGACTTACCTACTTAAGAAGCTGGGACAGGGGGCTGAGAAGGTAGCTCAGCAGTAGAGTGCGTGCCTAGCATGCATGAGGCCCTGGGTTCGATTCCTCAACATCACATAAATGGAAAAACCCAGAAGTGGCGCTGTGGCTTAAGTAGTAGAGCAATAGCCTTGAGCTGAAGAGCTGAGGGACAGCACCCAGCCCCAGAGTTCAAGCCCCATGACCCCCCCCACACACACACACACAAAAAGGATACTACTCAAGGCAGTGATGGGAGGGAGGGAATGAGAAAGAGGGAACAGCTGATACTAAGCAAAAGGAAAGAAATATTCATATCATCCACTCTGTAAGAAATATTTTTATTGCTAATGTGTACAGAGTTCATAAGCTTTGTAGATTAGAATGATGATAATTATCATTGTGAAGGTTAAAATGTGTTGGTGGCTTTAGCTAAGTATAACTATGCCACTGTACTGTGAAATAAATGTAGTTACTTAATCTCAATAAAGAAATCTTTAGGGAATGGGGCTGGAAAGGTGGTTCAGTGGCAGAGTGCTTGCCTTGCATGCATGAAGCCGTGGGTTCGATTCCTCAGACCCCACATAAGCAGAAAAAAGCCAGAAGTGGTTCTGTGGCTCGTAGAGTGCTAACCTTGAGCTGAAGAGCTGAGGGACAGCTCCCAGGCCCAGAGTTCAGGCACCATGACAGAAAAAAAAAATCTTTGGAGACAAAAAGAAGCTAAAAGAAGAGGGTCTTTTGGGATAAAGTAAGAAATTAAATGAGATAATATGTGTGTAAAGTGTCAAATATTCTATTATTTATTGTAAATTGAATACCAAATGATGGAAATAAAATTTTTTAATTCAGATGAAATGTACAATATACTCAGTATATTTACAATGTACAAACACAAGCTCTGCCTAGTTCCAGAACATTTACAGCACTCCCAAAGAAGACCTGGCCATTTTGCATAGTAGTTGTACCATTTTGTGTTCCTAACAGCCATATATGAGGGTTCTGGATTTCTTTACATGCTCACCAACATTTTCTATTTTCTGAGTTTTTTGTTTTTGTTTTTGTATTTTTTACAACTATCCTAATGGATATGAAGTGACATCTCATTGTGGTTTTGATTTTCATTTCCCATATGACTAATGATTTTAGTGTCTTTTCATGTGTGTGTTGTCTATCTGCATACTTTCTTGGGAAAGAAATGTCTATTCAAGTTCTTGATCCATTTTTAGGTTGTTTTGTCGTTTTGTTGTTCAGTTGTAAAACACTATGTACAGTGAATGCTGGACTCATCAGATACATAAATTGTAAATATTTTCTCCTATAGATTAAATGGAAGCAATTTGACACAGATATATATTATGCGTTACTGGGTGCTGGTGGCTCATGCCTATAATCCTAGCTACTCAGGAGGCTGAGATCTGAGGATTGTGGTTCAAAGTCAGCGGGGCAGAAAAGTCCATGAGACTCCTATCTCCAATAAACCACCAGAAAACCAGAAGTGGCACTGTGGCCCCAGTGGTAGAGTGCTAGCCTTGAGCAGAAGAACTCAGGGACAGCACCTAGGCCCAGAGTTCAAGCCATACAACTGAAAAAAAAAAGAAAGAAAGAAAGAAAAAAGATATATCTGATGTGCATTTCATCTCAATTAAAAATGTTATTTCCATTATTTCATGTATATATATAACCATATACCTCTAGATATATGGTTCTAACCTTGAACTTTTAATTCTTTTTTTTTAAGTTTATTATCTTTAACTAGTTGTACAAAAGGGTTTCAATTCAACAGGTTGGACTTGAATTTTCAATTTGCCTGCGTCATCCTCTCAATTGGCTAGGACTATTCTTTCCTCCTGGTATTGGGGTTTGAACTCAGGGCCTTGTACTTGCTAGACTAGTGCTCTACTACTTGAGTAACACCTCTAGGCTTACTTTTTAAAATTTTTCTTTTTTGGGTCTGGTCGTGGGGCCTGAACTCTGGGCCTGGGCACTGTCCCTCAGCTCTTCAGCTCAAAGCTAGCACTCTACCACTTGAGCCACAGTGCCACTTCCGGCTTTTTTTTTCTGCTTATGTGGTGCTGTGGAATCGAACCCAGGGCCTCATGCATGCAAGGCAAGCGTTCTACCACTGAGCCACCTTTCCAGCCCCCTCTATCCCTACTTTTTACTGGTTATTTTGGAGATGGAGTCTAGTGGACTTTTCTCCTAGGCTGGCCTCAGACTAGATGTCAGCTTCCTGAGTAGTTAGGATTACAGACATGAGCTACTAGTACCCAGCAACACAGAAGCAATTTTAAGATGATTAATTTTATTTTATTTATTTGTTGGTTGTGGGGCTTGAGCTCTAAGCCTGGGCGTTGTTCTTGAACTCTTCAGCTCAGGCATGTGTTCTACCACTTGAGCCACAGTGCCACTTCCAGTTTTCTAGTGGTTAATTGGAGATAAGAACCTTATGGATGTTCCTGCCTGAGTTGGCTTTGAACCTCAATCTTCAGATCTCAGCTTACTGAGTAACTAGGATTACAGGCGTGAGCCACCTGCACTGCAAGATGATTAATTTGACAACTGTTTATGCAGAAAAGATTGAAAGAGATATAGATGACAAAAAGACTAGCTAAGAAACTGTTGCAATTCTTCTAGCTTACAGTGAACACAAAACATTCTCCACAGTTGGCTGGATACAGGCTCATACCTTGTAATCCCAGCTACTCAGGAGTCTAAAATCAAAGGATGGAGGTTTGAAGCCAGTCTGAGCAGGAAAGTCTGGGAAACTCTTATCTCCAATAAACCACCAACAACCCAGAATGTAACTGTGGCTCAAGTGAGCAAGTCTGCCTTGTGCAAAAAGAGCCAAGTGAGTGAGGGGATGGGGAGGAGGGGGGAGGGGCGGGGAAGAAGGATACAAAGGGCAGAAAGAAGAGGCCCTGAAGCCAGGTGTTGGTGGCTTATGACTGTAATCCTAGCTACTCTGGACACTGAGATCTGAAGATTGAGATTCAAAGCCAGCCTGGGCAGGAAAGTCTGTGAGACTCTTATCTCCAATAAACCACCAGAAAAGTGGAAGTGATGCTGTGGCTCAAGTGGTAGAATGTTTGTCTTGAGCTGAAAAGCTCAGGGATAGCACCCAGGCCCAGAGTTCAAGCCCCACGACCAACAACAAAAAAAAAAGAGGAAGGAAAGAAAGAAAGAAAGAAAGAAAGAAAGAAAGAAAGAAAGAAAGAAAGAAAGAAAG